GTCTCTGTGACACAGCCTACCTTTCATGTCTCCTGCTCCGCTGCTCGGGGTCAGCAATCGCTTTCTGACAGGAGGCCCGGCGGGTGCTCTCTGAGCTGTCACAATCACCTCCCGCCAAAAGCACACCGCGCTCCCCCCTGCCAGCTCGGAAGTGCCGGCGACCTCCCGGGAAGATCTTAAATAGATTTGCAAATCAGATTGGCATCTTTGCTTTGGCATGAAGTTGATCTTGGCATTAACCAAAACCTCCTCCTTCTAATGTTCCAGAATAGTGGCCTGAGGCCAAACGGCCTTGCTAGTCTGCTGTGAGAACAAGATCTGCCTGGTTTCAATCCTCCTGGTCTGGCAACTCTGCATTTCCAGAAACGAAGTTCTGTTTGGGCCCACCCTTCACATGTCTCCTGGGGCCAGGGGCTTACGTAGCTCTGTGTCTCCACTGTCCACGCGATGAGGCTATGGAAGTAAAAAACGGCTTTCTCGAACACAAGGCAATAAGATATTTGCATACTCCTTAGCGGGCACACACAGTCTTCCGGAGCCCAGCCCTCCCCCCACCTCACCTCCACCTCACACATCTGACAGGTGTCCGCTGGGACGGCCTTCCATCAGCCAAAGAACCCAGCGCTCTTCACTGCTTCATCACGCTGCTCATTTTGCTACGATCGCCTCTGTCTTCCAATTCCCTGGTTCTGTTTTGAGCTTTCTAGTTTATGTTTAACCTAGAGATCTAGTTCAACAGCTCTCTTTTATTTCTGGAATTTTTATTTGGTGCGTTTTCAAAACCTGCCTTCTCTTACGCCCTTTCAAACCGCTCCAGCCCTCTGTGGCTCCTGCAATGTGGATGTGATCATTCGTTTTGTCTGTTTATTCTCAGAGTCCTTTGCTCTTTGTTTTGTATGTTTTCACTCGGAGCTCATCTCCAACAGGAATTGTCCTGCTCAGACCCTGGGCTGTGGGACCTCTCCAGGGAGAGGTTTTTGGTTGGTTGGTTGGTTGGTTGGTTTTCTTTTTAAGGAGATATTTTGAGTATGTTTTTGTTGGGTCCCTACAGAACCCATGGGCACATTTTTAAGTTATTTCTGCCTTTCCAGATTTCCACACCACATGGGTATGAATGCGAAGGGCAAGGCCTGGCCTGCATGGTCCCTCTAGTCCCTCCTTCGCTGCCCTGCCCATCGCATTCTGCCATCTTCCAGACCATGGCAGCTGGTCATGAGCAGGATGCTTGCTCTCAGAACTCAGATATGGCATTTAAAGGACATTTGGGCCAACCCCTCAGCCGCCCAGCCTGCTCTCCCCTCTTGCGGAGGCTTCCCTGGCCCCTGACTCACCCTGGAGTGCCAGCCTACTCCCTTCTCCCAGCTCAGACCTCCTCTGACAACTCCTCCACGTCTGTCCCTGGGTCTCTTGTCTCTGATCCACTCCCAGCTAAGCAGCCACCCACCTCAGGAGCACTCCTGTGGGTTCAGAGAGCTGGGGAGTCTTTGGTCCAGCGGAGGTTCTGGGCACAGGGGAGGACGCTGGACATGCTTGGTGCGGCTGCGTTCTCCATCGAGTCACAATCAGTTGAGAATTAAAGTTCTTCTCTCCCCCAAAAAAAGGCCACTTTGCCTGCTCCCCTTCTTGCTCGGTTGAGCTATGCATTGACACATTTACTTCTGCCTCGATCATTTTTCAGCGGCGGTTCGTCCCTGCAGATCTAGCCGAAGGTTAATACAGGTTTTCTTCTTGATCATAGATCCAGGCTTATGAAACCCTAATTAAGCATCTCCTTTAGCTGCCTTCATAGATTACTCGGTGCGAGAAGTCCGCAGCATAAAACTAGGCTCAGCTAAAGGCCTGTTTGGACGCCCAATTAGAAACTGGTGGGGAAGTTTCTAATCATTCTCACCTCCGAGTCTGGGCTCAGGCTGCTCCCCATTCCCAGAGGCCCTTCCCTCTGACCTCGGATACTATCATTCTTGCCGTCTTTGGGACCCACAGAAAATCCACACTGCTAGGACCTTATATTTTTTAATGCCAGTGTGGTAAGGGCACCATGCACCCCTCTGAGGGCAGAGGAGTCTAAGGCACATCCCTTTGCAGAAAAAAAAAAAAATTTTTTTTTTTGATAATATGTACCAAGAGCCTACAAAATACCTCCAGCCTTTGACCTGGTAATTCCACTTCCAGGAATCGTTCCTGTGGATTGAACCAGAAATGCAGACAAATAATATATATATGAAGAAATCTGTTTCAGTGTCATTTATAATTGTGGGTGCATGTGAATACGGGATAACTGGGAATATTTAAGTAGATTGTAGTATACCCGTATTATACAGCCATTTTACAATGAAGTTGGCGAAGGCAATTTTAATGCTGATGTTAAGTAAAAGCAGCAAACTTCCAGATGGTTTGTGCAGGGGATCCGAACAAGCCTTCCCAGCTACGGCCCACTTCCAGCAAGGTGGGACAGTGATCACAGGCATATAGGGTGAGGCTGCTGGGAGTCGTGGAGATGCTAATAAAATGGGAAATTCAAGAAAACTGAGGCTGGGTGAATAAGGTCACCGTTTTACACAGCGCAACATCCCCACCCCCCCTTTTCCTGGGACTGCGATTCACACTCCAGAAAAGCTGGGGCTGGTGCCTGCGGGGCCGCCGCTGCTGCTGAGCTGTGGGATTATCTCACTTCTCCCGGGAGCTTGTTGTCCTGTCCTAGAAGATGGTATAAGGGTATGAAAGGAAGGGAGCCAGAGACGTGTCCTCCTACCAGCTGGGCACATGGAGTGCTGTAGGGGCAGCGGGCACATGGGTCCCACAGGGCAGTCATGCTCCAGAGAGTGGTCCCCCGGGAGGGTGGTGGTGGCGGCGGCCAGGATGGGGACACCCCCGGGGCTGCCTGGTTGATGCTCATGCTCTGCCTGCATCTCAAGGGGCACCGGGTGTGGTCAGGGCCCCTCTGCACTCTGAGGAAACCAGAGGTTTCCTGATGCTCAGAGGACATCCCATGGTGTCAGCCATATTCCAGGTTCTGGAATCTGCTGCCTGGCTGGTTGCAAACCTCAAGTCCAGGGTGCTCTGAGCCTCCTCAGATGGATGCTTCCTCTTCCTCGTTCCTCACTCTCCCATCCCCCCTAGACTCTGTCTCCAGGTCTTCCTTTGTGCCACATCCGCAGGCCTGGAGCAGCCCCACCCAGTCACGCAGCCGGCCTGTGGGCTCTGCACCCAGCCCAGCGCCTGGGCTCCTTGGAGGAGCAGGAGGCGAGGGTAATTGCATCAGGGCCTCTAGTGAGTGGTAACGGGCGCCGGGCTGCACAGCCCGTGGAGCAGAACAGGACGTTGGAGAATCTGCCGGGGCCCCTTCTGCTTATCTGCCATGGTCCCCTAAAATATTCATCAGGCTTTATCGGCCTAATGGGCTTCAAAAGGAGCAATTTTCTGAGACATGAGATAGGACAATATAAAAAGAACATTAAGGAAAAATCCTTCCCGCAAAATGAAAGGGAAAAGATCATTTAGCGTCCCTGCTGGTGTTATCTATTCATGAGAAGCAGCGCGTTTAATCCATGGCGGGGTGTGCGGGGGCTTTGATGCCCTCACCTTGGGGTCACCTTCATGCAGAACTCATCTGTCTCTGCCGCCACAGACGCCAGGGGCCATGGAGACAAGAGGGTGCAGATGAGAGACATTTCAGAGCTGGACTCTGTGGGACGACGAAGGATGACAGGGACAGGGAGTGTGCGGGAGAGAAAGGCTATCCTGACTTCCAAGGTGCCCAGGGCACTAGAGCATTGTTCTTCATTTTTCCTTCCTTTCATGCTTCCTATCTTCCTCCCCCAAAATACCCCGGTCTTGATTTAATGTTTTGGAGCATGCTGTGGGAGTTCAGTTCCTGGAGGTCAGGAACTGTGTCTCCCTCCCAGCCCCCAATGTTCCTATCCATCGATTAGGGCTCACTTTTGGTTCCCAGCCCTAAGACCACAAGTCTTGGTGGTGAGGGGGACCAGATTCAGGCCGGGAGGACTGATTGGTGGTCCTGCTGAGCCTCCCCAGGTACTCCAACAGGGGACAAGGCGGAGTCCTCTAACGGAAGATTGTCTCCCTCAGAATTTACTTTGCTTGAGTGGAACAGAGCATGAGGTTACAGCAGTGCCCAGGCCAGCCTTCTTACAGAGACAAAGGACTGGAGGGTTCCTTTCTCCTGCATCTCATCCCTCTTCTTCCCATGTTCATTACCTTTTCTCTTACTCATTTTTAACTACTAATTCTTTCCTCTTCCTTCTTCTTCTCCTCCTCCTCCTCCTTTTCCTCCTCCTCCTCCTCCTCCTCCTCCTCCTCCTCCTCCTTACCTTTCTCATTCCCTTCTCCATCTTCATTTCTACTTTTGATCTAGCACAGTGGTCGGCAAACTACGGCTTTTGAGACATGCGGCTCTTTGGCCCCTTGAGTGTGCCTTTTCCACAAAATACGAAGGCCTGGGCTAGTCTATTTTGAGAAGTGGCATTAGAAGAAGTTTCAATTGAAAAAATTTGGCTCTCAAAAGAAATTTCAATCGTTGTACTGTTGATATTTGACTGTGTTGGTTGACTAATGAGTTTGCTGACCACTGATCTAGCATGTTTTTTTTATAGCTTCAAACTTAGAAAAATAATTTCAATTTAATTTTTTTCTAGTAAGAAAAATTTTATACCAAGCAAATTAAGATAACACACACCTCCACCTGTCCACCGAGAGCTTGCCAGCCTATGTAGCTAGTAATTATGTGACCTGCCCACACCCAGATGTTTGCCTGGTGACTGGATTCTCAGGCATTCCTCTACCCCATGGTTAGCCCCATCCTGCTTGATGTGAGCTTGTATAACCTCAGTGTGTTTCAATCACTATGTTCATCGAGTTCTTTGCAATAAAAACTGTTGACCCAAAAATGCCTTCTCCACTTTTGATAATTCAAATAAAAGCCTGGTTGCTATTTCATCGCATATTCAATTTTAAGTGTTGCTTCTCTTTCTTTTCATTAGATTTGTGACAAAGAATGGCATTACTACGTCATCAACGTGGAGTTCCCCGTGGTGACCTTATACATGGATGGAGCGACGTATGAACCATACCTGGTGACCAACGATTGGCCCATTCATCCATCTCACATAGCCATGCAGCTTACGGTTGGCGCATGTTGGCAAGGTAATCCTGACTCAAGTCCTTCTCCCTGGCCTGTCTGTGTGCAGCCCAGGAAGGGCACTGATAGAGACAAAGGAAAAGCAAATGGTGTCGGAATAGAACAAGAAAATGTCTATCACTTACTAATAAAACAGGACTTATAAAAATATGGATCCATCTAGACACTGAGCTTGTGTAATAACAAAATACTTAGCTTGAAATCAGATTTTAATTTTAGATCATCATGAGCAGTTTGGTTGCCTCTGAGTTGCTAATGCCTTTTCTTGTTCTGGAACCTTAGCCAATGTCAGACTGGGGCTATGGATAGGAATAGGTTGGATACAGAACCCTGTATCACAATGGCCAGTTGGCTCCCTAAAGTACCACACTGGCCAGGCAAGTTGCCCAAGCCCCCCGCCCTCTGTTCTTGGGAATCACAAACACGCAGGGCTGTGGGCAATGAATTTCCCCAGGCATGAGGCCATGGGAGGTCACTCTAAGTTTAAAGCTCTCTGCTCCCTTCTCTCTTCCTTTCCTCCATCACACAAACCCAGGCTAGTCTTCCATTTGGAATCAGGAAAAGCAGCTCTCCAAAGAACAGGCATGGAACCTTTCTTTCTCTCTCTCGGATCCATTGGACTCTGTTTTTCTCCCTTAAGGGCTGTGGTGCTTTGAAGTACCAATGAGAGAGCAGAGGGGAAGGAAAGCACTCCCCAAATAATCATATTAGTCCTTTGAGATGAGTCACCTCATGGTGATGGATTTTGTGAAAATTACTAAGGTTTGGTGAGTGACCATTCACCATGGAGGACTGGAGGGAGAGGTGGGCTGTGATATAAGAATACACCTTCAGAAGACCAGCCAACCAAAGGGTGACCTAGAGGAGACGAGGCCCCTCTGGGACAAAGAGTGAGTTCTGGAGAAATCCATGCAAGAAACAATGGAATCAGTGCATAGAATGCAGCTCTGGGAGCAGGAACACAAAACCCGGGAAGGGAAGAAAATGTGTTTCTGAGCTGAGGTCACCTACTTGATGTCTGACATATGTCACATAAGAGTAAAAAAGCTCCTTAAACATTTCAATAGAACTTGATGGGCGCTTCCTCAGTATGTCAGAATCCCCTAGGATATCAGGAAAGAGACACTGTCATCTGGCAAGTGTCCATGAAACTAATTAGTATAGCAAGGCACTGGCTCCGAGGTTGCACAGGAATCATTAGTCACTGAGCACAGCTGCAATAGAGCGATGGCCCCCTGGTGTGGCTTGGTGTCCTGCCTAGCACCACAGCCAGCCTGGGGATATTTTGGATCGTAGCCTGCATACTTCCCGTACTATACAGAGGTCCTACTCAAGTCCTGACCGTGAACCTTACCATGACTTTCCTGAGAGGTCCTCAGAGACCACATCTGGATTCCCATCACCCAACCTGCACTGGAAACCTGCCCCCAATTCTACAAGGCCAGTTATAACCAGTGCTGTATAGTATCACGCTCGCTGGGTAGGAAAACAATCCCGCCAAAATAAAAAAGTGATTTAATAAAAAATCAATATGATCTTTTTTACTCAAAAATAGGCTAAGTTGTACTGCAGTGACAAGCCAGCCCCAATTTTCAGTTGCTTCAAATAATTTTTGCTTCACGTTCATTGCAAATCAATGGAGGCTCTTCATTGCTTTTTACTTCATCTGCATCCCAAGCAGACAGAGCAGGCACACAGCTGGAGACTGAGGGAGAAGAAAAAGAAAGCACAATGAATGGTGTGCAAGCTCTTCAAGTTTTCACCTCCAAGTGACTCCAATCACTTTTACTCAAGTGTTATTGGCCACGTCAGAAAGTGTTATTAGTCATGGCTGTAGATAAACTGAGGCTCTGACAGGTCACCCCAAGTCACTCCATGAAGTTAGCCTGACCCCATGTCTTCAAAGCATGTCCTCCTCTCATTGTGGCTCACTGCCCCTGTTGCTACTTGATCATGAAGTTGATGTAATTACATGCTTAGGAAAATGCAGGAGCTGGTGTGCATTGACACCAATGCTATACACCCTTTACCTTCTGACACATCTGACAACCCTGGAACCAAAAGCCACAGGAACTCTGCATACCCTCTGTGAATCCCCTGCTGTACACTCCCTTCAGTAGCCCTCCACTAACAAAAAGGAGTTCAGGCTTTGGAAATAGAAAATTTTGAGCTTGAGTCACATCCAAATCCCAGCCCTGCCACTTATCAGCTGTGTGGACCCAGCAGAAATCCTAACTTCTTAAAATCCATAAGAGCTCTTATTTTCTTATGCCTAAAACTTGGATGATACCTAATTCACAGTTCTCAGTTAGGTTTGGGGCACATGCAGTGTGCTTGGCATGTTTGAGTCCAATGAAAGTGAACATTTGAAAGCATCTGTGGTCCCCTCAAACCTCAGAAAACAAGTATTAGAAGATAGGACTTGTGGTGTAGGCAAGAATCTGATCATGCAAATTTTGGGCCTTGGAGAAGATTTGCATATATTCTCTGAGAGGAATGACAGTCTGTTGATACATTTTGAGCATCAGAGAAAATCCTTTGACTCTACAAATTGGGCTTTGTAGGATGAATAGGAGTTCACTGGAGAGCTAAGGAAGGCAATAGCCTGTGACATGGCAGGGAAACGTGATGCAGTCACGCTCAGGGTGCCTCATCACTAGAATGCACATGTACCAGAAGGCATGGAGAAGAGGCTGGGAAAACAAGAGTTGAGGCCAGACCATAGGATGTCACGCTGCCTTTTTAAGGGAATGAGGATTCGCATGAATGCTCATACCCTCCTTGGAGCCACATGTGGTCTTGGAAGGACACAGCAAACGCTCTCTCAGTAGGACATGGTGCGGTGAAATTAATGGCCTACCCTGTAGTCCTCACCTCAGCATGTTTCCAAGCCTGCCAGAGCCCACTTAGCTACACACCATACACCCTCCATGTGGCCCTCCAATTGAGGGGGAGTTTTTCAGGTGCGATTGAGGTTGGCAAGGGAACCAGCTCCCGTTTGTGAAATGTCCAATTGGGGCTTCACAATGGGGCTGGGAATTACTGTGTAGCAGCTGCTCGCTGGGGGCTCCAGGGAACTGGCTCTCGCGCCGTTGCCGGGCAGTGCTCTGCAGCCCCAATTAGCCTACTGTGTTCTTTTGCTGAATTTAAAGCCAAAGTCATCAGTGGCCCTTCATTCTCATTGGTATTTTTCTAGTAATTAAAAGATTTGGAAGTTCATTTACAAGTAAGAAATGTCACTGGCACTGCCTAGAGCACATAACATGCCTTAATTGTAGAAAAACGGTGGTCAGGATGAGCCACATGTCACAAAGGAGTCCTTCTTTCTCAGTGTGGCCAGAGCACACCACTGCCCCATCCCTTCTGGGCTTGGGTTCATGCATTCTCAGGACAGAATCAGACCCTCTCTCGTGACCACACTCAGTCTGCACAGACTCAGAAACTGCTGCCTTTAAACAAATAACCAGGTTCCTTGTCTCTTTTGGGGTCAGACTATGGCAGAAGATCATTTAAAATATGAATTAATTTGTCCTTTTCCTTCTATTTCCCACTCATCCATTTCTAACAAATATTCAAGTTTTACTCGTGAATAATAAGAATTGTACACTCACATCTGCTTCATCCCTGGACCCATTAATTGGGCCCAATCACCCAGGTCCTCTAACCCAGCTGCCATGGGAGTGACCCAGAAGGCTGCAAATTGTGCCAGGCTGGGGCCTTAGGGAGCTCCTGGGGTTTTGGGGAGATGCCCCCACAGACAACATTTGAGGGCACCTCTCCCCACACCCCAGCCAGAGCAGCTGTTTTATCTATTGTAGCAGCATCTGGGCCAGACGACTTTTGACAAAATGATAAAACATGGCACCCCCTCAAGAAGTCACCGCCCAGCTCCCTGCATCTCTAGAGTCTGTGCCTTGTCCTCCTCTATTCTTGGTAGATCTCATCACAGATGTCCCTACTGGCCACCTCATCCCCCTCCATTGAGGTCTCTCCTCCAGCATTCCAAGCCTTGGAATTCCTAGGGTGTCTAGCTTTGCCCACTCTTGACCATGATAATCCCCCTGGCTTCAGATAAGGAATGCTTTCTACCCTAGTTCCTGTTCTTACTGAGTCCCACCCCTACTTAACAAGTAAAGCAACAAGAGGTAGAAAGGGGGATGGTTCTATGAATTGGAACCTGTTAGGGACACACACGGAACCCCCATTGTGGCATTTGGGAGGAGCCAAGGCAAAGAATCGGAATGGTCAAAAGGAATCTAAAGAGGACCACACCAAGACACATCATAATTAAAATGCCAAGAGCAAAAGACAAAGAATCTTACAGGCAGCAAGAGAAAAACAGTTAGTTACCTATAAGGGAGCACCCATACAATTATCAGCTGATTTCTCAATAGAAACTATGCAGGCCAGACGGGAATGGCAAGAAATATTCAAAGTGATGAATAGCAAGAACCTACAACCAACATTACTCTACCCAGCAAAGTTATCATTCAGAATTGAAGGTCAGATAAAGAGCTTCACAGATAAGAAAAGGCTAAAGGAGTTCATCACCACCAAACCAGTATTACATGAAATGCTAAAAGGTATTCTTTAAGAAGAGGAAGAAGAAGAAAAAAGTAAAGATAAAAATTATGATCAACAAATACATATATATCAACAAGTGAATCTAAAAATCAAGTAAATTAAAAATCTGAGGAACAGAATAAACTGGTGAATATAATGGAATCGGGAGCATAGAAAGGGAGTGGATTGATAATTATCAGGGGGAAAGGGCTGTGGGGGTGCAGGAAGAGCCTGGACTAAAATCATACACCTATGGATGAGGACAATAGGGGGAGGGAAGGTAAGGGCAGAGGGTGGGGTGGGAACCGGATGGAAGGGAGCTATGAGTGAGGAAAGGGAGAAACAATTGTAATAATCTGAGCAATAAAGATTTATTAAATTTTTTTAAAAGAAAAGTAAAGAAAAAAAAAGGGGCTGAAAGACAGAAATAGCCCTGAGGCTT